AGATTCAGGTTAGGCAAAGGACAGGGCTTCCTTTCTCAGCAGCAACACACTGTCATGTTTTTATCCTGGACCAGAACGACAATGCCCGCTGTTTTTACTCTCCGCTGCATGGGCTCCCTCTCTCATCAGAGGATGCCGCTCGGCTAAAGCGGGTCCTGGTTACTAAGGTGACAGCCGTGGAGCAGACTCGGGCCACAACGGTGGATCTCCTACAAAGTGTCGGAGGCCACAGACGCTCTTCTGTTCACTGTCAATCTGTACACAGGGGAGGTGGGATAAACGCGCTGTGTCCGGAGGGACGACTCCTCTCAGAGGCTGTTATAGAGATCAAGGACGACGGGGAACGGTCCAGTCAGCACCGTCACGGTGTCATCCTGCTGGAGGACGGTCTCCATGAGCCATCTTAGACCTCCGAAAGACGGTCGAGCCAGCAAGAAACTGGCAGAATCACCTTTATTTGATCCTCTTCTGGTCGATTTCCGTGCTGTCTCTGGTAATTTTTCATCTTAGCGGTGAAATGCATCAGGAAAAGCAGAAGCAGCGCGAGTTGTTGCACGAGAGAGTGACTGTGACGATTACAAGAACCCAACAGAAACCTGCAGCTTCAGCTCAACACTGATGGACTATAAAGTACGTGGAGGTCCTGGGAGGAGACATGTTGTCTCAGAGTCAGTCCTTCAGGTCCTGTATGTCTCCTATGTCAGAGTACAGTGATTTCACTCTGATTAAACCCAGCAGCACCACTGACTTTAAGGAGGTCATCAGTGTCCTGGATGCTTCTTTACCCGACAGCACCTGGACCTTTGAGAGCCAGCAGGTGAGCAGAGACTCGGAAAAAAGAATAGACCGTTTATACCGTTTTGTATGTGCTACTGTTAACCCAAAGGTATTTGTTTGTACACAAAAAAATCCCAACAAGGTTGTTCAACAAACACTCAATATATAATATATGCATTATAAATGGATACATTTTAAATCAGAATCTTTTTTAAAAAACATTAAAAGTGCTAAACTGTTAACTTAAACCTTATTATTGCACCTGGAGAGACGTTTTTCTATCATGTAGAATAGCTTTTCGAGATGAACGTTTCAGCACCTCAGGGATGGACAGCGACTTTGACACACCAGACACACCATCAAGAGTGCTTAATAATGGTTGGATGGTGATGGTCATTACTCATGGAGTAAAATTGAAAAAGCATAAATGATGTTCATTAAAGACGCTGCATTAATGCATTGTATTGATGTTTTAAATGTATTTGGCTAATTTAATAATATCAACCTAATACATTTTTATAATTATAACATTTTTGAACTAAAACATATTTTGCCAGTATAGTGAAATTGAATGTTGGCAGTTATTGTATCCGTTGATTATATACCTTTTACAAAAATAAATTGATCTAATAAATATTTAAATCTATCTCTCGTGGAAATTTAAACCATCATGTCCTAAACACGTTTCCATTTCTCTCTAATGTTTGGACACAATGGGTTGTGTCTCTTTAACGAAGGATTCTCAGTCTTCCTCCCATTGGATATGAGAGGTGGATGCTGTGCACCAATAGCATTTAGAAATGTACAAAGAGATCTACTCCCTCCCCCATGCAGCTTTAGCACCAAACCACAATGCTCAGAGCTGAAGGAGAGTATGATCCATATTCTCTCAGTATTTGGCTATCTTGGGTTCATTATGGACGATAGACAGGCATGGCTTAAACGGAATATATCACGATTTGGGAATATGGATTGTGACATTATTTTTTCTGTTGCTGTGGATTGGATGTGATGTATTTTACTGAATCAGGGATAACAAAGACAATGGGATACCGAGACTGGAGATGGCAGGCGCTTTGGTGGCATCATTTCTTCCTCTTGTGGACTACAATAGACGGACAGACTCGTTACAGTATACCAGAGGAGCTGAAACAGGGCTCTGTGGTAGGAAATCTTGCAAAAGATCTAGATTTGAGACTATCAGACATTTTTGAGCGTAAACTGCGTGTCGACTCTGAGGCTGGTAAGCAGTATTTCAGTGTGGATGCGGGGAAGGGCGAGCTGGTGGTGAATGACAGAATAGACAGAGAAGCTTTGTGTGGACAAAGCGCCAGCTGTGTTCTACCTCTGCAGGTTGTTCTCGAAACCCCTTTAAATTTGCACCGAATAGAAGTAGAAATTAAAGATATAAATGACAATGCACCTTGTTTTAATACAAAAGAACTTACCTTAAAAATTTCTGAATCGGCAGCAGTTGGAACTCGTTTTCCCCTGGAGAGTGCAGAAGATGCTGACGTTGGCAGTAATTCTGTTAAATCCTACATGTTAATTAAAAATGAATGTTTTACGTTGAAAATGAAGGAGGTCGAGGACGGCAAAACAGTCCCAGAGTTAGTGTTAGAGAAGCCTCTCGACCGAGAAAAAAAAGCGGTTCATCAGCTTTTTTTGACTGCATTAGACGGAGGAAATCCAGCCATGTCTGGTACGTCACAAATAACAATCATTGTTCTTGACGTAAATGACAATTTTCCAGTTTTCGAAAAAAGTATATACAAAGTTTCGCTAGAGGAGAATACTCCAAAAGATACATCTATTATCAGAATTACCGCAACTGATGCAGACGAGGGTCCAAACAAAGACATCGAGTTCTCTTTTGGATCACGGACACCAGATTCTATTTTATCAGTTTTTGAAATTAATTTATTAACTGGTGAATTACATTTAAAAGGAGAGTTGGATTATGAAAGAGATACTTCCTACAAAATTGAAATAACTGCGAAAGACAATGGCATTCCTGAAATGGAGGGTCACTGTCGTTTACAAATAGATATAATAGATGTTAATGATAACACTCCGGAAATACTGCTCACATCAAAACCCAGCCCTGTAAGTGAAGACGCGCCTAGTGGTACAGTGGTGGCTTTTCTCAAAGCACGGGACGCTGACTCTGGTAATAACAGTAAGGTAGCACTGCAATTACCCAAAGGTTCTCCTTTCGCTCTTAAGCCCTCCTTTTCTAATAATTATGCTCTCGTTACGACTGGTCCTTTAGACAGGGAGCGTTTCTCAGAGTATAATATTGAGATAACAGCCACTGACTCAGGCTCTCCTCCTCTCTCCAGTAAGAAAAGTATACCTGTCATCATCACTGATGTGAATGACAACCCTCCTGTATTCACTCAGCCCTCCTATAATGTGTATTTAAAAGAGAATGGAGTACCAGGCTCTATCCTGTACTCAGTATCAGCATCTGACCTGGATTCTGGTGAAAACGCCAAAATCTCTTACTCTATACTGGACTCTAAAGTGCAGGACGTTTCTGTGTCCTCTTATGTTTACATTAACTCAGATAACGGCAGCATCTACAGCATGCACTCGTTTGACTATGAGAAACTGAAGGTGTTTCAGATTCAGGTTCAGGCAAAGGACCAGGGCTCTCCTTCTCTCAGCAGCAACGCCACTGTCCATGTTTTTATCCTGGACCAGAACGACAATGCCCCCGCTGTTATTTACCCCTCCTCCGCTGCCATGGGCTCCCTCTCTCATCAGAGGATGCCCCGCTCGGCTAAAGCGGGTCACCTGGTTACTAAGGTGACAGCCGTGGACGCAGACTCGGGCCACAACGCGTGGATCTCCTACAAAGTGTCGGAGGCCACAGACGCCTCTCTGTTCACTGTCAATCTGTACACAGGGGAGGTGAGGACTAAACGCGCTGTGTCCGAGCAGGACGACTCCTCTCAGAGGCTGCTTATAGAGATCAAGGACGATGGCGAACCAGTTCAGTCAGCCACCGTCACGGTGTCCATCCTGCTGGAGGACGGTCTCCATGAGCCCATCTTAGACCTCCGACAGAAAGCGGTCGAGCCCAGCAAGAAAACTGGCAGAATCACCCTTTATTTGGTCCTCTCTCTGGCCTCGATTTCCGTGCTGTCTCTGGTGACTTTTCTCATCTTAGCGGTGAAATGCATCAGGAACAGCAGAAGCAGCGCGAGTTGCTGCACGAGACAGAGTGACTTTGACGATTACAAGAACCCCAACAGAAACCTGCAGCTTCAGCTCAACACTGATGGACCTATAAAGTACGTGGAGGTCCTGGGAGGAGACATGTTGTCTCAGAGTCAGTCCTTCAGGTCCTGTATGTCTCCTATGTCAGAGTACAGTGATTTCACTCTGATTAAACCCAGCAGCACCACTGACTTTAAGGAGGTCATCAGTGTCCTGGATGCGTCTTTACCCGACAGCACCTGGACCTTTGAGAGCCAGCAGGTGAGCAGAGAGAGAAAAACGATGTTTACATACATGGTTTAGTATGCGCTATTGACCCAATGCTTACCCATAAAGAAATCATAACAGCAATGTTGTTCATCCGCTACTGAAAATATCGTTGCATTATTAGTGGACATTTTTGAAATAAGGGTAAATAGTATCCAAATTAAACTGCTTAACTGACTTGATAGCTTTAACGACATATTTGACCTGGAGAGTTTGTTGAATGTTCAACAGCTTTTCGAACTGAAGGTTTCAGCACCACAGGGTTGGACAGCGACTTTGACACATGAGGCGTCAAGAGTGCTCAATAATGGATTGATGGTGATAGACTTTAGTCGTGGAATAATATTGATACTAAAAAAAAACGTTATTTAAAAACTCTGCTTTAATATATTTTCATATGTTATCGGAATTCATTGTACTCACAAATGTATGCTAAATTAAGAAATTGCAATCGTAAGAACAATTAATAGTCAAAAAATAATATTTTAGCAGGAATTTAATGTTAATAGTTCTAAGTTTTTGTTACAGACTTTTATTTTTTAACGAATTGATGATATCTTCATCTATGTCTCGTGGAAATAAATACCAGCATCTCCTGGAAATGTTTCCATTTCTCTTTAATGCCAGAGCACAATGGGTTGTGTCTCTTTAACAAGGATGCTCAGTCTTCCTCCCATTGGATATGAGAGGTGGATGCTGTGCACCAATAGCATATAGGACTGTACAAAGAGATCTACTCCCTCCCCCATGCAGCCTCAGCACCAAACCACAATGCTCAGAATGGGAGGAGAGTATGATCCATATTCTCTCAGTTTTTCGCTATCTTAGTTTCATTATGGACGATAGACAGGCATGGCTTTTACGGAATATATCATGTTTTGGGAATATGGATTTTGACATCATGTTGTTTGCTCTTGTGGATTGGATGTGATGTATTTTACTGAATCAGGAATGACAAAGACAATGGGATACCGAGACTGGCGATGGCAGGCGCTATTTTGGCATCATTTCTTTCTCTTGTGGACTACAATAGACGGACAAACTCGTTACAGCATACCAGAGGAGCTGAAACAGGGCTCTGTGGTAGGAAATCTTGCAAAAGATCTAGATTTGGGACTATCAGAGATTTTTGACCGTAGGCTGCGTGTCGCCTCTGAGGCTGGTAAGCAGTATTTCAGTGTGGATGCGGGGAAGGGCGAGCTGGTGGTAAATGACAGAATAGACAGAGAGGCTTTGTGTGGACAAAGCGCCAGCTGTGTTCTACCTCTGCAGGTTGTAATAGAGGACCCACTGCAGTTACACCGAATAGAGGTGGAAATAAAAGATATTAACGACAATTCTCCGCGTTTCATTTCAAATGAGCTGTCTTTGAAAATAGCCGAATTAGCTTTAGTGGGCACCCGTTTTCTTTTGGAGAGCGCAACGGACCCTGATGTTGGAAGCAATTCTCTCAAAACGTACACTCTCAGTAAAAACGAGTGTTGTTCCCTTAAAATTAAAGAAATTGAAGGAGGCAAGACGGTGCCTGAACTTGTTTTAGAGAAGCCCCTCGATCGAGAGAAAAAAGCAGTTCACACTCTTTTACTAACAGCATTAGACGGTGGTAATCCAGTAAGATCTGGAACATCACAGATAACCATTCATGTACTTGATTTAAATGATAATTTTCCTGTGTTTGAGAAAAACGTTTACAAAGTAACCCCTGGATGAAAAAAGCGTGAAGGGGACCCTCGTTGTAAAACCCAAGGCAACAGACGCAGATGAAGGTCTGAATGGTGAAATTGAATTTTCGTTTGGCTCTCGTACACCAGATTTTGTATTGTCAGTGTTTGATATTAACACAGTAACTGGTGAAATCTCTCTGAAAGGGGAGTTGGACTATGAAACAACCAAATCATTTGATATTGATATAATTGCGAAAGACAAAGGTAGTCCTGAAATGGAGGGTCACTGTCGCGTTCAAGTTGATATTACTGATTTCAATGATAATGCTCCTCAAATTGTCCTCACATCTCAACCAAAGCCAGTGCGTGAGGACGCACCAAGTGGGACAGTTGTGGCTTTGATCAGTGCTCGAGATCTTGACTCCGGTGATAACGGTAAAGTGACGTTGCAGCTTCCTAAGGGTTCTCCCTTTACTCTAAAACCTTCTTTTTCAAATAATTACGCTCTGGTAACCAGTGGTCCTTTAGACAGAGAGAGTTTCTCAGAGTATAATATTGAGATAACAGTCATTGATTCAGGCTCTCCTCCTCTGTCCAGTAAGAAAACTATACAATTTAGCATAACTGATGTGAATGACAACCCTCCTGTATTCACTCAGCCCTCTTATAGTGTGTATTTAAAAGAGAATGGAGTACCAGGCTCCATCCTGTACTCAGTATCAGCATCTGACCTGGATTCTGGTGAAAACGCCAAAATCTCTTACTCTATACTGGACTCTAAAGTGCAGGACGTTTCTGTGTCCTCTTATGTTTACATTAACTCAGATAACGGCAGCATCTACAGCATGCACTCGTTTGACTATGAGAAACTGAAGGTGTTTCAGATTCAGGTTCAGGCAAAGGACCAGGGCTCTCCTTCTCTCAGCAGCAACGCCACTGTCCATGTTTTTATCCTGGACCAGAACGACAATGCCCCCGCTGTTATTTACCCCTCCTCCGCTGCCATGGGCTCCCTCTCTCATCAGAGGATGCCCCGCTCGGCTAAAGCGGGTCACCTGGTTACTAAGGTGACAGCCGTGGACGCAGACTCGGGCCACAACGCGTGGATCTCCTACAAAGTGTCGGAGGCCACAGACGCCTCTCTGTTCACTGTCAATCTGTACACAGGGGAGGTGAGGACTAAACGCGCTGTGTCCGAGCAGGACGACTCCTCTCAGAGGCTGCTTATAGAGATCAAGGACGACGGCGAACCGGTCCAGTCAGCCACCGTCACGGTGTCCATCCTGCTGGAGGACGGTCTCCATGAGCCCATCTTAGACCTCCGACAGAAAGCGGTCGAGCCCAGCAAAAAAACCGGCAGAATCACCCTTTATTTGATCCTCTCTCTGGCCTCGATTTCCGTGCTGTCTCTGGTGACTTTTCTCATCTTAGCGGTGAAATGCATCAGGAACAGCAGAAGCAGCGCGAGTTGCTGCACGAGACAGAGTGACTGTGACGATTACAAGAACCCCAACAGAAACCTGCAGCTTCAGCTCAACACTGATGGACCTATAAAGTACGTGGAGGTCCTGGGAGGAGACATGTTGTCTCAGAGTCAGTCCTTCAGGTCCTGTATGTCTCCATGTCAGAGTACAGTGATTTCACTCTGATTAAACCCAGCAGCACCACTGACTTTAAGGAGGTCATCAGTGTCCTGGATGCGTCTTTACCCGACAGCACCTGGACCTTTGAGAGCCAGCAGGTGAGCCTATAAAACAGTGGACCTGCACTGTGCTTTACAGTTTACATTTTGTTCATAGCCATAAAAAATAAGCAAGATGAAACTGTTTTTAATTAACTCATATGTCACTTCTTTATGACATAGGAAGCCAAAATACATGGGCATTGTATGCCTTTATTTACAAAAAGTATGTTTATTTAATGCAAGATTGGGTTTCTGCATATAAAACAACACCATGTGTTTACATCCGGATTACCACATCTTTGCAATGGGTTACATTAGTTTTACATGTTTTTCTGCCTTACATTGCCTTTTTATTATATGCGACAATATTTTTAGTGAAACCTATTTAAAGGTAAAATTGAGCGTAGAGGGAAACCTGATTGAAAACCCCGCCCCCCTGCGGATGCAAATAGTATTGCTTTAAATGACAAATTGGTTTGACCACGAGATTTTTCATTAAGAGCATGTGAATTAATTATTCCAATATATAAAAAGTTTGATATAATGTTCCTTAGATTATGTCAACTGACTTTTTGTCAGCCGTAAAATCTTCCTCCTGCTGTCCCTTCACTTTCACTTTTCTCTTAAACTTTTAATGAATGAATGACTTTATTTCGAACCAAAATTTTACATAAGATAAACAAAAGAAAACAAAAGACAAAAGTAACAGTGTCCGAAAAGGAGAAGGAAGAAGTAAAACTTGTATATCCCTACCCCTATGTTACATTTCTTCTGTTAGTCAGTTCTCAAATGAGTGTGGTGTTGGTGCCTGTCAGTGGAAGTGCAGTGACTGGAAAGTTTTCACTGTGTGAGTGTGTGAGCTCTGTGTGACAGAGCTGGTCCTGCCCTGTCTTCCAATGAGAGGGAAGGCCTCTGTGGTACTTCCCCGCCCACGAGGGGAGTGAGGCGGAGGACACAGAGCAGAGTTTCACTGAGGGCAGAAAATACTTTGATTTTCGTCTTGTTTTCTCGTAAAAAGCGCAGTCATGATCACGTCAAAACTCCCCATTGCTTTGTTTTTAAAACGGAAATGTTTTCCATCGAGCCTGACAGCCTCGTGTTAACATTACTATGGATACGCTACGGTGAAAGAAGGACTTGAAAACTTTTCCATTCTCCGATCATCGGAGCGCAGCACAATGGACTCCAGACAGAGGAAGCGCTCCGGAGGAGGGAGGCTGTGGAGGCTCTGCTTCTATCTGGCTTGCGTCTCCTGTGCGTCCGCTCAGCTCAGCTACTCTGTATCGGAGGAACTAAACCCAGGCTCTGTGGTTGGAAACATCGCGAAAGATTTGAGTCTTTCTGCTCAACGGATGGTTCAGAGGAGGTTGCGGGTGGTCTCGGAATCCACAACGCAGTATTTTGAGGTAAAGGAAGCGACTGGCGAGTTAGTTATTAAACAAAAAATTGACAGGGAGCAACTGTGTGAAATAAGTTCAGCATGTTCACTACACCTTCAAATAGTTCTGGAGGTTCCTTTAGATAGTCATCGCGTTGTGGTGGACATTCTGGATGTGAATGATAATGCACCGCAGTTTTCAACAAGCAACATTTCTTTGGAGATATCAGAGGCGGCTACTCCGGGCACAAGGTTTCGCCTGGAGAGCGCACACGACCCAGATGTTGGGACCAACTCGTTACGCACTTACCATCTTGCAGCAAATGACTTCTTTATTTTGAAAGTGGAAACTAAAAGTGATGGCAGCAAGTTTCCGGAGCTCGTGGTGGATAAATCTTTGGACAGGGAGACGCAGGCCTCGTTTCGCCTGTTGCTCACGGCTGTCGATGGGGGTCAGCCGGAGAAATCTGGCTCGACACTTCTGCTCATTAGAATTCTGGATGTAAACGACAATTCGCCAGTGTTTGACGAGCCGGTGAAGACTGTTAAGTTATTAGAAAATGTTGCACGGGGCACTTTAGTAACTAAACTGAACGCGTCTGACGCGGATTCGGGGAACAATGGAGAAATATCTTTCCTTTTTAGTAAATACACGCCGGAACGCGTTCTCAACCTTTTCAGTGTGGATTCTAAAAGCGGGGAGATCCGTGTGAAGGGGGACGTGGATTATGAAAAGGCCGCTAGATATCACATCACAGTGCAGGCCAGAGATGGAGGCTCTCCTGCCATGGAGGGCTCCTGTAACGTCATAGTAGACGTCATTGACGCGAATGACAACACACCAGAGGTCACACTGACGTCACTGACTAGTCATATCGGGGAGGACTCAGCGCCAGAAACTGTGGTAGCCCTCATCAGTGCCCGGGACCTGGACTCGGGGGTGAATGGGGAGGTTACACTGTCAATCCAACCAGGTTTGCCATTCAAACTAAATTCAGCTTTTGGCATGCATTACAGCCTCACCACTGCTGGAAATCTGGACCGTGAGACTGTCCCTGAGTACACAGTGGTCATCAAGGCCACTGATGCTGGATCCCCTCCTCTTTCGTCACAAACCACCTTTGTTGTGATGCTCTCTGATGTAAATGACAATGCCCCCATCTTCTCTCAGCCTTCATACTCTGTGGATGTCCCAGAGAACAATGCTCCCAGTGCCCCAATCGCTGCTGTTTCAGCCACTGATCCAGACCTGGGTGACAATGCTCGCATCTCTTACTCCATCCTTTCCAGCATGGTCCAGGGTTCCCCCATCTCTTCCTACGTCTACATAAACCAAGAGAATGGGCACATCTACAGCATGCGCTCCCTGGATCATGAGCAGCTCAATGCTTTCCGCATTGAGGTGCAGGCTCGGGATGCTGGGGTGCCCCCTCGGACAGCAAACGTTACTGTGCATGTGTTTGTGGTGGATGTAAATGACAATGCACCAGTAATTGTACACCCCTCCTACCCAAAAGGCAAAAGGTTAGAGCTCACTGTGCCCCCTTCAGCTGGCCCAGGGCACCTCATAAATAAACTTGTAGGGGTGGATGCAGACAGCGGGCACAATGCATGGCTATTTTACTCCATCACCCCTGGTCCAAATGCTGGCATGTTCCGTATTGGGGCACACAGTGGTGAGCTACGTACAACACGCAAGTGGGCCGAGGAGGAAGTGGGCTCAACATATGACATCATGATCACCATCCAGGACAATGGCGACCCACCTAAGTCCACCTCTGTGAACATTACAGTAACTGTGGATGAGAAGGGCTCGGCCATCGACGCTCCTGCTAGCCCTCATCACACACCCTTCTACCACCGAACGGGGATGTCAGACATCACCCTGTATCTAATCATCTCTCTAGCTTGTGTATCAGCTGTTTCCTTCATCACCTTTGCTGTCCTCATGGTACGCTGCCTCAGGCACCAAGGCCCAGGGCTGGGAGACTCTGACTGCTGCTGCTACGGAAGCCACAGGTCCAGTCGCTACCATCAGCGACCCGGCAAGGATCTGCACCTGCAGCTCAATACTGATGGACCAATCCGCTACATGGAGGTGGTGGGAGGCCCCCAGGAGCCCCACACCCGCACCTACAGGCCCTGCTACTCCACCCTATCCAGCCGAAGTGACTTTGTATTTATGAAGACACCCATGCTGAGTCACAACAACACACTCAACATGACACTCAGCAGGAAGCACCTTATGAACTCAGCTTGTGAGGTGAGGGGATTAAATGGGAGAGCAAGCATGGCATCTGTAGAATATGCACAATAAGCCAAATACAGGTGTTTTAAAATCCATAGACAGGTTTGAGAAATGCAATCTCAGAAAACCTTCTTCAAATGTGGTGTTAATGTTATAATGGTATGTAACAGTACAATGAATGAGTCACAACTAGATGTCCTCATTCATATAGTTCTGCAGTTTTTCTCTCAAGGCTCTGTTGTTTTAGCAGGATGCTGCTTCTCAGTGTTGTGAGAAAATTATCAGAGCTGCGTTGTCCCAATTCACAGTTTAGAGCTTAATATTTATTCTGACCCTGAGGCTAGGAAATAACTATGGTTGGTAACTATTTCTGACTTCTAGAAACTATAGTGGCTGAAAGAAACTGATTAAAAAAGACACAGATGAAGAGAGATTCATGCAGCAAGACCAGAGGTTGGTGGATAAGTAAGAAAGGGAGAGACAGAAGAGGTCCTCACAGATAGAGGGGAGGAGACAAACATGGAAATTCGTCCTGCAGTTTTGGCTAAGGGAAATGGCTGGGAGAGAGAAGAGAACAGGATGACAGAGGGAGAGAGAGATGTGGGGCAAAGGAGAGGAAAAGGGCTGAGGAAACAAAATGGTGAGAGGAGTGGAGGGGAAGAGTCAAAGAATAAAGCAGTAGCTGAAAAACAGGAATTCAAGGGGTCAGTGGCCTGACCCCTGACTTCCTGTTGTCCTCTGAACCCTTGGTGATTGGTTCCAGGGCTCAGCACATCACATGAGGGAGGATGTGCTGTGTGCATTCATTCAGAACAGATTTTTATTTTTCTATTTTTATTTTCACTTTTAGATCCTGTGTAGTGAATGTCCCATATTTCTATGTGGTCATTGAATAAGAAAACTGAAAAGAGCAAACATGATTCATGATTCATTCAAGAGAACTGAGTCGAAAAAGGGGAGTTTTCTTCTTCAAACTTTTTTAAATATTAGCTTTAGTTGTGTAATTTAAATGTAGAATTAATTATTAAATTATTTGGTTTAATATTTCTTCCCCAAACATCAAGATGTTTACCCTCGTGTCTGTTTAGTATCTAAAAGAGCCCTCATGCCTCTGTATTGCGTAGAAACTCTCTGTGTGCTGAATTAGGTTGTCCCTGAGGTCAGCAGGGTACCATCTGTCTCTCTGCTCTAGTGACACGTGTGCAATGAGGACAACAGAGGAATAGAAAGCAAAGAATAGATAAAGGAACAGGAAGGATGGCTTTACACACGTGTGCCACAGCGACAGACGGCACAGGCGATAAAGGCTTTCAGGCATCAGCCATGGCTGTGGGTGTTTATGTGCTTGCAAGTGAGGTTGGCTGTACAAAACATCATACAAGGAGTTCTCCAGTAGTATGTCATTTTAGTAGGACCATGGGGCCTTTGTGGCGATTATCAGTCAGTTGACACTGGCCTTCTTATTGTGCCCCCCTATTCACACTTTAAGAGTGAGACAAGGAAAAAATCTATCACAGCAACCTTTTCTGCCCTGAAATATTTATAGATTAATCATTTGATGGCTTCCAATCAGCCTGCGACATGTAAGACAAATAATTCCATGATGAAGTTGGTTCTTTGGCTCAGTGGACAAACATGTCATGTTAAAACCTGTATTTGTATTTATTATCAACTCTGTATTAGTAAAATAAGAGATTTAAAGTAAGTAAGTATTAATATTCCTATGACCATTCGTTCATCTTTCAGTATGAGACTGTGGGAGTTTATAAGGATTGGCGCATGCACTGAGATGCACATGCAACTTGCAAAACTAGCTCATACAGATCAGTAAAACTGGGTTTTACCTAAAGGTTATTATCCATTTATTCATGTTTCTTTAAGGGGTGGGAGGGGGGATTACAACATTGTGCTTTACCTGAGAGATTGGACTTTTTCAATACAATGATTTTAGTTTTCTGGATGTGACATTTGTAGGATTCACATCCTATTTTTCTTATATTTTTGGACTTCCTTCTGCGTAATTATTACTTAGCATTCAAGAACAATGTCTCTTGGAACAATGCAGGATACCTGTGATGACAATTTGCTCTGAATTGTAAATGGTGTGTGTGTATAAGAGCAACAGAAGAGGCCACTTCCTCTTTTCTGACAGAGCACAAGGTGCCGTCCAGCCACATATACAATTTGTGTCTGTGATAGGAAACTGAATCTTCCACATAGAGCACCAGATAGTCTTATATGTGTGCAGGATGTGTTTGCATGTGCCTTGTAGATCATTTCTGTCAGAGAGAAAGGGATTAGATACTTTTTATTTCTTTGTTTAAACCTGGAGAAATCCTTGTCCATCATTATAGAGAAGTTGTTAACCATTAACCCAGTAAAACCCATGCTTTTAGACATGAAGTCCAGATGTGCACAAGTGTTTATCAGTCCGGCTTAAACCCTATGGTGTATCCAGTACTATAATGCATATCTATCTTAGCATGTAAGATGATAGTACTTCAACTGACTAATGTGTTGCTCTAGCTAAGGATCTCATTCTGGTTTAGTTCAGCTCCAAGCTTGATGGTTGAATATGTAGGTGTAAGGGAGGCAGGCTGACATTCTTTAAAGCTTCCAGGATGGAATAAAAGTCTGTATTTGAATGAGATTTAGGCCAACAGAGCTGTAATCCCATCATCGCTCTCCATTGGCCTAGTCTTCATCTGTAGTCTATTTGACCCCTCTCTCTATTCCCTGTCTTCAAATTCAACTTGCACTATGAACAACACCATGTGCTTTTTCAATATCTTTACCTCATGTATTTTAAGGGATTCATTTACTTAAGAGACTTTTTTATTTTTTTTTTATTAAAAGGCTAAAAATAATTGAAGCTTAAGACAGTTAGATTTTGATCCTTTCATGCCTTTTAACCTGGTTTTAAGTTACTTTCCCTGAAAGATATTGTCTAAACCATGCGTTCTGATGTGTAGGTGCAGCCAAACTGTCCTTAATGAAGCACCAGACAGTACGAGTATGAGGTTGAGAGCCTAATATTTCAGCACAGAGTCAGTAACCCTCTATTCCACATGCCTACACCCTTGCAGTGGGATCTGACCTGGGAAATGACTAGTGTGTGTCTGTGAGTGTTGGTGTGGTAAGAGCGAGTCACACAGCTGGAATGCTGGGCCTCTCTGTGGATGTTTGCCTCTAGTCGGTGCTGATCTTTTTGTCTCCCTACTAAAGCTGCCCACGCACATATACTTGTCTCTGAGTCCATTTTTAGATAAATATCAACCACGCTCTGCTCTGATAAGAGTTCAACTATGTCCACCTCCTGTCATTCATTGTGGTTTTATGGTGTATGATTGCTGCCCTTGCAGTTTGTTATGGGGACATAACTGAGCATTGTCTTCTCTTCATCTGAATCTGGTTTCTTATCCGGAGTGTTGAAGACTTAACTGATTGTGCTGAGTGACCACGAGTAGTTTACTCTGAAATGGAATCCACTGGCAGCTTTTTCACTCAACACTTATTTAGTTATAGGGTTGTTTAATAATCATGTAGTATTGTTCAGAATGCACTTATTGGTATACAAGATTCAGGTTACATTATTTGTACCTGTAGGTAGATTTGTTTGAAGCCAGAAAGATACAACTCCTCCTACATGTTATCCTTCACTCTCTGTCTCAGACTTTGTAGTGTCCTTCACTAGTCCTTGAAGACCATTAAAAAAAACGCAGTCCTTTCTTTTATGGGTTGCCGCTTTCCATATTTGATTTTTTCAACAAGCTGACTTTTGTAAGTCACCATTCAATGGTGCCTTAGTTCCTGTTATCTAAAAAAAAGCTTCATCCATGATGGTCACCAGCAATGCTGTTCTTTTTGATTAGGTATTTTCTGGGATTTTCTCTCGTCTCTTTGGCTCTCTTGCTTCTCTTGCTTCTCTCCATCATTCCCTCGGGTAGAACAGCTCTTTTAATAATGCAGCACATCGTCCTGCTAGCCTCACTCTCCAGGGAGCTCTTGTGTCGATTAGGTGGTAGAATCTGGAGCCAAGCCAGGGGTCTATTCACCGCATCACTGCACAACAAGAGAGGCTGAGAGAGAGGGAAAGAGCCAGAGAGATGGAAAAGACATGGTGGCATGGCCAGTGAGGTAGAGATGGACAAGAGTGCAATTGCTTTGGAGACATTCATAGAGAGAAGCAGGGACTTAGAGACATGAGGGAGGCTTTATCGCTGTGGATCCACAGTGATAGTTTTGTCTCCTTGAAGTTGAATCAAAATGACAATAGTTATTTTCCAAGGACTATCTGCACTCCGCATCTATTTATTTATTTTTAGAAAATATCTTACCTTCAAAATAAGTACAAGTTATAGCTTGTTTTCCCCTGATGTGTCATATTACATATTAAATACTGACCTTTCTCTGTGTGGTTGTTCACTAAGATGCTGTCTTTAGGATAAAACTCCTTTGGATATCTGATTTAACTTCGGGCTGCAATGGTTCTTTGTGAGGGCTTGTAGTACATTTTATATCAGTCATAGTTCAGTTGTGTGATCATGTATTACTTTTCCTGCCTTTCCTTCTTGTTTTTTTGTCCTCTTCTATAAGCAGAGCTCAAATTTTCTCTGCTTGTGTTTGTGTTTGTGTGTGTTTGTGTGTGTGTGTGTGTGTGTGTGTGTGTGTGTGTGTGTGTGCACTATTCCTCTGCAGATTTAATGCTCCACCGCTTTGGAACAACTGGGATGCTTGAGCATACAGATATCTGTTGCCAGCTTAAAATTAGTTGAGAAAAGGCCTTCTACATCCCAGACATACATCATCCACATTAACACACATTAGCCACAAACCAACATCCCTTGAACACCTAAGACCCTTCCAGCTGTTGTTACAATGAAACAGAAAATTGATGTTGCATCTTATTTTCTCTTCACAGCAAAAGCCCCCCAACAATGACTGGCGCTTCACACAGGGACCGAGACCCGGACCTAGCGGGTGAGTAAACTGAGCAACACACAGACACGCGGGGAGCTCATCATAAAACAGAGGGCGAGATGATGGATGAGAAATGTAATGAGGAGGGGGATGGTCGCGATTGCTGTAGCTATAAGAACTCAATGCCTGCATGATGCTGAATAAAAAGTACAGATGGCATCAATACCCAATGCAACCATCAGAATCTGACTCTGAGCTACACTGTTGTTCAGATCTACTGTATGGTTGCCTGTTGATCTATGACTGTAATCAGTGAATTCAGATTCTTGCTTTACAATCCTAAATGAGCATCTCTGCTGGTTTCAGGCTGCTTCATAAAATGGCTGCCGCAGCCTCCACTCCCCCTCCCCTCTCTGTTCCTCTCCTCTCTGCGCTCTCCGAGTCTGTGCGCCATCACTCAGTACTACTGATGAGGGACGGGGACCACAGCTAGTGGGGGGATGGGACAGTGTTTTTATCCTTCTTGCTCTCTGTCTTCATGGGAGAGATCGTACAGACGGGTTATTTTACATTTCATTTTGTAACACTATAGTGACTGGCCTATTTAAAGACAATAGATGAACTGTGTTTTGTCATTCCAGCTGTGTGTTGTAGTGATTTATGTTTTAATGGTTTATGAATGCTATGCTCATAGTGTGTGGCATAAAATGGAGAATGTGCAGTCAGAGTTTTCACAACAGTGATTACGCAACACATTCTATGAGTCAAAGCTTCTCCCTAAAACATACCAGCTGGGGCAGAAAGGAAAATGTCAGACACACACAAAAAACACACACACCACTGCTGCAATACACTTAGGATAGGGATACATTGGATATCATTCATGTTACTATTTTTTCGCTGAGATCTAGAGCTGGATATCTTAGCTTTTCACTCAAATACACAATGATTCTGTTCAGACTGTATAACGTGTTGTGTTTTTAGTCCCCACATGCCATACGGTACACACATACGATGGACGCCGAAGAGTGGGACAAGGTACAAACTTAGACATAGACGCTGTATGATCACTCCCTGTTCTTAGCAGCTGATTGGTGTTCAGAGGAACCTGATCACAGTTGAGCTGATAAGAGCAGAGATTGGTTTGAATCTTTTAGGTAGTGCACTGCAGTTGAGTGCTGTGCTGTGTGTAGGTGTACCTAACCCATAGCTTCTGTTAGTCTCCCTAAAGGTTTGATGGGGTTTGTTGATCGATGTGCATAGGCCACAATGCCTGCTGTGGCGTAGAAAGGATTGTTAAACTTTTGAGTTTGCGTGCAGTGTTTTGTAGATCTGTTCTGCCTTGTTTGTGTGCTATTGCTTTACATGAAGTCATTCTAGTCTGAGAGCTCTTGTTCTCTCTTCTTCTTCTACAAGACTGGTTTATCATACAGCGCTTCCTTTGATGTATATGTCTGTGGTGGTTGTAGGTCAACATCACCACATGTGGCTTTTCACGTGATTTGTCCACTTGATGACTACAAACACAGGACAATGAAGTCAGCTGTTTCTTGATCATTTTTTCAGAAGTTTCTTAGTGAAGTAAAGAGCTCTTGCGTTAAACCCTCAACGTCGACATCTACGTTAGCCAAATGTCAGCATGTGCACAATTTGAAGTTTGAAATACAGAACTGTGCAAAAGTCTGAGTCCACCACCAGCTTTGTTGTTTTAACACTTTTTAGTGACATCTATATTTATTAATCAGTATCTTTATTACAATATGAGCAATAAATAAAGGAAATATTCTACAGGCAAAGGTCAGTGTTTAGTGCTTCCCCCTTTTCACATCTTTAACTCTGTTGGAAAGAATGTTTTGACATTCTCTTCAGTAACCTTCTGGTATGTTACACCAGGCTTCTTTTAGCTTTTCCCAGAGTTCCTCTTTAGATCCAGGATATACTTTTTTTTCTCTGTCCAGGTGATACCATTCTGTCTCTATAATAGTCAGTTCTGGACTCTGTGGAGGTCAGTGTTGTATCAGATGTGTTTCATATAAGTGTGCTTGGGTTCGTAGTCATACTGAAATAAAACCGTTCCCAATCAGACACCTTCAAGAAAGAGTAGCATGATGAATTACAATAAGATTACTGAAACAACAAATCTAATAGTGGCCTCAGACTTTTGCACAGTACTGTAAATATCTAGATGTCCTCTGCAAAGCAACAAGGAGAACTGTCCCTGGAGGTAAAACATGTCATGTAAGGTTGCCACAGAAAATCAGATAATTTTGTCTAGCCAACAAAGCACATCTCTCTGAACCACAGTTCACAATGTTGCCCACAGGAAGTGATAATCTTGACCACAGGAAGCACTTAACACAGCCAAGGGATGTGATAAGTACAGAGACATGCTACTTTAGCACAAATGAAGCATTCGCTTTTATCTTTAGCGATGTGAAGTGGCGCAAAATGGCTGTCCTTCCTTGACTGTGTCTGCCCTTAGGCAGCCTATTTCTTGTTTGCTGCCTCGCTTAGGACATGAATGTTCCTCTCCCTCAGTGTCTCTCAGGCACTGAACTGAAAACCACCTTAGAGATTTGTCAGTGAAATCTGCTCTTAAACAAATCCCTCTTTCAGTCATTTCTTCCTCTTCCCCTTGTTGTGTCATTTACTCTCTCAAGTCGATGGAGCGGAGTTTTCTGTCTTTGTTTTTAAAATATTCAGGAGTGTTGTTCTTTGTGCATCACATTCATTTAACACTCTGAACCTGATTCCTATGTGTCCTTTATACCTGATGTGTGGCTGACTTTCCTTTAGAGCTTTAAAACTCCACCAGAACCTTTTACCGATATCCCTGCAGGCTAATGATCCTCCGTTGACTACCACCAGGGTTTTTTAACACCCTAAAATTTTGAATAAGCAGTGTATTACCCTCACACACATAATCCAAGTTGTTAATAGAAAAGTTCAAACTATATGTTGTTTATGATCTTTACAGCTCTAGAAGCAGCATCGATGATTATTTGAAATAGCTTGATGGTTGAAGTGTGATTGTTTTTAAAAGTATCACAAAGTTACCTCACTATAATTTGATTACATATGGAAACCACGATCTTTAATCCAGAGATTGAGGTTTCTTAGCATTCTGGTAACAAGAGAAGAGTTGGGATTAAAGCATGGTGACCTAGCTTTCAATCGTGGAGCTTAGTTGTGTTTGTCACAGGTGTGGGAATGGAAATGAGCATAATAGACGACAGGTCTGCTTTCGCCTCTGTTCTCCACACATGCAAATTGCAGACTTTAAATAAACAAGCCTTTGAAGGTGAAGTTTACCCAGATGGAAATAGTTAATGCTCACTGAGCTCTACGTGTGTGACTATACAGACAGCTATTTCCTTTAAAGGGGGGGACTCATTAAATATTTACTGATATTTACAAGTCTTGCTCATGGCCGTAACAGATAGAGTGTTAGTGTTGTACAGTGTTTGCTGTGTGTGAATCCTGAAAACCCGCTTGTTACTGTGTGCCTGTGTGCAGACACACTTGTACATGGGTTAAAAAGAGTGTATTAGGAGGTGCTCGTTTGTTTTGTAAACTATACATCCTCCTTGTTATCCCTGCTGCCTACAGGCTGTGTCCTTCATCGTCAGCTGCTTTGCCTTTACACCATAAACCACCAACTGTCAAACCAGTCAGCTAAACACACACACACGCGCACACGCACACACACACACACACACACACACACACACACACACACACACACACACACACACACACACACACACACACACACACACTGGAGATGATGATGAACCAGTTATTTACACTTGCTCTTCCCTCGTTTCTGCCATAGGGCTACTGGAGGACCTGAGGTTGCTATGGGAACTGGCCCCTGGCCCCAACCCCCAACTGAGGCTGAGCAGCTCCAGGCCCTGATGGCTGCAGCTAACGGTGAGTCCCATACCTCCTCACCTTTTGTTTCTATCCTCTATCAATGTATCTTCTCTTTCCAAATAACTTACTATCTCTTCATACGCTTATCGAGTGTGCGTGGGCAGAGCCGGTCTATTTAGGTTCCTGTTTGGTTGGAGGGCAACAAGCCAGACTCACTCATTGATGTAGCTCTCTGAGTCCACATTGATGTTTCCATGTCGTACTTGTGCACCAAAAATATATCCAGAGCAGGCCTGGGGTGATATCAAGACAATGGACTTTACTACCTGCACTTGGTTTTGTAAACCGTACAGTTTCTGTGTTGAAATCACTAACATGACAGAGATGCATGTTTCCACTGTACACACTGATCACCTGCAGGGTTTCATCATAAGCAGAGCCCTATACAAGAAGAGTTTTGATATACATCCTCGAGTTTATTGAAACCAAAGATTCCCATATTTTAGAACACCTCTACTATCCTATGTCTGTTTTCTTGCAGGGAAACACAGGGATGATTATATTAAGTCCTGAGATAATAACACTGAACATAGTGTCACTTGATAAAAATAAAATTCAATGATCATGGGGGGACAAACTGTTTCGATGATGTATTGCCAAATGGCCCTGCTCATTGTTTCCACTGTTTTGTAACCATTGACACATTACATCTCCCTCTCTCTACACACACACACACACACACACACACACACACACACACACACACAAAACCCTCCCCCATCTTGGACACTGCACGGGACATGGTGTGATGTTTTTCCACCAGAGTAAACCGAGAGTCTAAGAGAGGAAAGGCTCTTTCCTAGGAATAGTGGTAACCTGCATGTCAGCACAGACTTACACAGAGTGAACATTTGGTGCCATCAGGAAGGAAAGAACAATTGGAGCATGTGATTAATACTGAAGGTCATCTCTCTTCTAAATGTAATATGTTAAAGCACAACATGGGAGTAAAAACACTGTGAGAGCAGACAAAGGATAAAAACTTATGTTTCTCCATTAGTGCTTTGGCTCTTTGGAAACCAGTGCAGTTAGCATGACAGCTTTTGTCTGCATGTGTGTTTATATAAGCTGAGAGGAGCTACAAGATGGGGGAGGGAGCGTTTGTGTCTCTGGCCCTGCAATGCAGGGGCTGTAGGAGAATTATATGAGGAGCAGCTACGTCATGCGCATGCACTGTCAGGGGGAGTGATAGAAAACCAGAAACACAGAGTTTTATCCTGTTAAAAAAAATAACAGGGACACTTCATGCAGCCAAATAATTAGTTGCAGCTTTGGTTTCTCTTTTGTTCATACTTTGTCTGTTGGTCTAGTTTTAGCGTAGCGTAACTTAGTGTTTTTTCATGAGCATCGAGATATGTGTAAATTAAATCTTTCTTCAAGTAATTTCCCTACTTGAAAAAGGAAGCTTAAAAAATTAATTGGTCTGCTCTACTTTATGACCTCTTTCCATTTCACTACTTTAAAATTACACTGTCATACTAAAACTTTCAAATTCCTGTTGTCTAACAAGTTTCATCCCTCTCTCCTCTCCCTCCTCACCCGTTATTCCCCCACTCTGTCTCTCTTCCCACCAGAAGTGAGTGAGGCTACAGCCACCCTGGGGCCCGGCACCATGGGCTTGAGCACCCGCTACAGCCCCCAGTTCACCCTGCAGCATGTGCCCGACTACCGTCAGAACGTCTACATCCCTGGAAGCACGGCCACCCTCACCTCCAATCCCCAGCAGCAGCAGGCCACGGCCCAGCAGGCCGCCCAGCAGGCGCTGCCACCGCCCCAGGTCTCAGCTCAGCCTGAGCCTCCCAAGGCCGCCCAGACCCCTGCCTCCAAAAAGAAGTCCACCAAGAAGGAGAAGAAGTAAAACTGGACGGACAGACGTGTAGAAATGACAAACCCGGCCTGATCTGATGAGAAATTCAACCCCCCATACCCCCCCCCATTAGGTGTCCCTCTGCTCTGCTGTCACTCATGCTAGCCACGGTCTAAATTATGAGAGCAAATCCCCCTGACCACATGGACATGTTGATGGGTCTTTGAAAGAGTGTCTTGAAGAATCTGAATGTGCTGAAGGCTGTTACTGGTGGTGATAACCTGTGCTGTGCTAAAGGTGGTGTATTGCTCATGAAGTCTCTGTCTGTAGAACATTTTGGCAGGGTATGGGGGGTTTGAAACATGTTTTTTTTTTTTTTTGTGGCAAAATTAAATGATCTTGGACAAAGAGATTCAGTGTAAGAAACCTTGCTGGGATGCCAAGGCTATACGCAGTGATGTATTCAGAGATGAAATGTTAATGTCTTTCATGTTGGATTTTTTGTGCTCTTTCCCTGAGGTGGAAAGTCTGCTATTGTAAAGTACGCTAGCTGCCATCAGTTAGATCACTATATAGGGTCAGCCTTGCAGGATCTTAAAGCATAAGTCCTGGAGACATAAGGCTGCTGTTAAACAGGTATTAAAAAATCATCTGCATGCTCTTTAAGGTTCAAAACACTTATACTAGTATAGAGTTGCAAACTATGCATTGCAAAATCAAAGAGGAGGACATCCTGAATTTGTTATCCTCCCTCTAATCGCGGGTCAATAAAATGCATATGTAGCATTTACTTGACACAAAAGGAAAGATACTTTTGTAATCATAATTTAAAAAAAAGTTTATTCCCCTGATATTTTTATGACCTGAGCATGCACCCAGAGGGAGGGCTGGCAGAGAGAGGGATGCCATGGGGTGTTGTCATTGAGTCCTGAGCTGTGCTGTCCATGCAGGTGGTAAAGCAGCAGGGACCAGCTTCTAGTACAACAAGCTCCAGATGGGCACAAGCATGTCCTGCTGCCCTCCTACCCTCCCTCCTCTCACCCAGATTGTGTCCTACCAACACTCACTTTCCAAATGAGAGCCAAGCAAAGAGAAATGCACTGTCTGTATCCTGGGGAATAGATAGTAGGGTTAGTAATCACTTCAGTCTTAGATGTGATCAACTTCAGTGTTAAGGAGTTTCTAGACACTCAAGTGTTTCCCCTCACTATCCTAAAGTGCTGAAGAAACTTCTTGATGTGGCACCGTAACATGTTTTTTCTTTGGGAGATAAAGATTCGATAGCATAGAGGAATTGTCTGTATAAGATTTAAGGTCTTTACTTTGCCGTCCATCTGTCCATCACGCCTCTGGCCAGAGACAACTACATGAGAAAAGGCAGCTTGCAGGCTGGGTCAGGCAGTCAGAGGGGGTGTGTCGAGGGGTAAACAGACTGAGGTTAAATCAACTAGAGGTGGGAAACAACTTTGGCTCTGCTCTACCTACTGAATGTACAGAGGAACCACTGGTGACACCCCTTAAACCTTCTCTTATGCACTGACCCAGGTAGAGGGCAACACAGCTGTCCCTGTTGGTGAAGAGAAACCACTCGAGAGCCCTCAGAAACATCCCTCCTCCATTTAAATCAATTGTGAATCCTCAGCCTGTCTACCCCTCATCTCCCCTCTTACTCTCTGCTCCTGTGAGGCTCTCCCCCACTGTAAATAAACACGAGTCCTGTCGATGGTATGAGCCAGTTTGTACAGTAGGGAACATGTCCAACATTTTCAAAATAAGAGTCCCTCTCCACAAGGCGTGGCTTACTACTGGAATGTGTTGCATTTTGTTTTTCAAAAAAAAATTAAGAAAACCACAGTTGAAAAAAAAAAAAAGATTAAAACCTGAGATGTTCTTCAACAGTTTGTGTTGCAATGTAGTAACTAAGCACCATGGAAGCCAACTAACTCTTCAGTGTAAATAAAGAATTAAAGATAACTTTAGATAAGTAAACAAAGTGACACACGTAGACTAGTTAACTTGTGATATGTGTTGCGCATATTTTTGTGTTCATTTTCTCTCTATCTTTTATCACCCTCTAAAGAAAGAAAACAAAAAAAATATGGAAATGTTTCTATCCTTCTGTAACCTCTTAATGTTCTTTTGCGGTGATTTTATCTTGTGCATTTGTGAAAGAATGCCTCTCATTCTCTTTCTGTCCATATGAACAAATGATTATAAATATTATATATGTGTAAGTCCGTCCGCTGCTGAATTAATACTACTCTATCCTGCTGTATTATCTTTCTTATCAAATGCTTAGCCCCCACGCTTTACCCCTGTGTTACTCTCTTATTTTTATGCTAATATTTATATTGCTGTTTTATTTTCTCTTGAACACTGACATTTCAAATAAAAACATTCTGAAATAATTTAATGTTTGTGTTTGCATGCTTTCCTCGTTGTAATATGTAACGGACACAGGAGAGTTTGCCTTACTTACATAACTTCTCCTATTAATTAATAAGATTTTCTTGTGAGAAGCATAAATCTTTATCCCTTTCGGGGCCTATTTTTGTGTCTGTGTGACCCACATTCAGCAGGACTCCAGCTGTCCTTATAAGTTTTGCTCCATCCTGCTCCATTTCAGGCATTCTTCCTGGATGTGCAGGAGATTAAACAGCATAAAATGAAGACAGTATAGAGGTTAGAAAAAAGTGTTTTTCATGTGATGTCTAAAGCCAGCTCTTCATAGACTGTGCTGCCTTTTTCTTTTGTACTGTTCCTTCATCATAACAAGAATAAGAAGAACGATACTTTATTACAACGATACTTCTGTTAAAATTATCAAATCTACCAACAAGTGAGTCCAACTGATTTGGAAGAAAAAGTGGGCTTGAATTACATAGGTAAGACAATGAACCAACAATCTGGATGCACACTGCATAAAACACAAAGATTAAAAGACATTTTTTTTGCTGTAGGCTTTTAAATTACACATTTTATGATATCTTTAATTTAAGTGATTAAAACTAGGTCAGCAAGATTAGGACTGAAAGGCTTTTTCCTCACTGTTGTTAAAACCTTGTTCCAGCATATTAATGTGTACATTAAGGCACTGATTTAAAACAACTAATATATGTGTCTGCTTTTTACTCCATACAGAAAACAGAATAATAAAAACAATGATTAAAAAAATGTCGTAAATTAAACATCGACATTCCTTGTTAACTCTCTGCCGTCTCATCGCAGTGGATTTGCATGTTGTATATCTTTACTTTAAGAGATCCTGGGGCCACTGCAGGGAACATGGCAGCCTGCTCAGTCTCTTTGTGCCTTCCACAAGGTCTTGCACAATAACATAGGACCCTATAAATAGCCCACAAGACGTCACTGAGCACAACAAAAGGAGCAGGCTTTGGTTCTCTGCTGCAGATGTTGGGGGATGAAGGAATGGAGATGATGTTAGAGGCATGAGTCAGGCGTGTCGTTGATGCTTCAGCCTAACAGCCTGAAAATAATTACATAGAACCACAACAGAGAGAACACAGATTAAAAGCCCTTTTGTTTTTCTAAAAAGTAAGAAGTTGTATTTTTTTTTAACAGATGTCATTTTTTTATTATTAAAATCATTTGTTCAAGACAAAATCATTTAACAATCACAACCTTGACTAAATAAAAATTTCAAAACCATAAATGAGACAATACAGTTGTTTAAACAGCATCATTCGCATGGAAAAACTACAGATTCATACCCAAAATGGCCGACTACTCTCACCCTTCCCTTAATGTTTTATGCAGTTGCCACAGCAACTGTCAGCCCCAGCTCTGGATGCTTTTCCCTGCTCAACATCTCTTTATCAGAGATCCATGCAGTGTCCATTATTTACTCTGGCTGGGGCCTGGCTGATCTGAATGACCTGCAGGAAGACTAACATATTCAGTCATTAGTCAAACCTGGCAACTCTGAGAAAGACATATGTAGGAAACATGGCAGAGCTGAGCAAAAGATATCACACACACACACACACACACACACACACACACACACACAGGCAAATGAGTCAGAAAGCACCAGAGAGCTGCAGGATGAGCCATCATTTGAGATCTTTTTCTAACTCTGGGAAAAATAAAAGGAAGTTCAAGTGTTATTCATGTGTTTACAAAAAGACTAAAGCTCATAAGCAGCGTCACAGTTACTTTTATTTGTCACCCTGTGACTCACAGTAACTCCTGCTGTCCTCTCTGTCCCCTTGTGTCATCCATTTCCCAGAGGGCAGCCATAGCAGAATGGGGAGATTGTTCTTTTATTGCCCCTTTTAGGCACCCCCATCCTATCTCGCTTAATTAAGCACATTCCTATTTATTATAGACACACAGAGATATACACAAAAGAGCGACACACACAGTCACACACAGGCTACAAACTTCAAACCAGTGATGTATCGTAGCGTTGTCCAAAGAGGGGAAGTAGAAGCAGACTGGAACTCAACAATGCACTCCCTGTGTTCCTAATATCATTAGTCAGACAGCCTGGACACAAGAGAGACTAACAGGCATCATCACATCCTTAATATGACACATGGACATGTCAGCAGGCAAGTGGACAACTCAGACACACTAATAAACTATGGTCAATTGTAATGAAGTCATCCATTCAAACACATCGATATAAATACTAGTACGAATAGTACAAATAAAAAAATTGGTTAGAAAATGAAATCAATCAGAGCTCCTCCTTCACAGTGAAAGGAAACAAGGATCTGATTTCAGGCTGAGGATCTTAACATGCGAGGCCAGAGCAGGAAGTGACGTAATGGCTGCTTGTGGCGGGATCAGAGTGAGTGTACGCGCCTTTTTTCTCTCTTTTTCCCTCCCTAGTTGTCCAACGAAAGGCAGGAACCTTCACCCTGATCCTCCCCCTCTGATTTCCTCTCTTCTTCCTTCCATGCACCCCCTCTCCCCTCCTCCTTCCTTCCTTCCTTCCATGCTGCAGCTGTCTCTGCTCTGTGTAGGGTCAAACATGTTGGAGGACAGAGGACTGCTCTGTGGATATGAACACAGCAGGGATAAAGAGCAGCTTAGTGTGGACTTTACAGGGGAATAAGTCTCGAATGAAATGTATATATTTTCAGTGTCACAGTGAAGTTAAGTAGGGCCTAAATCCGTCTGACACACTTAGTGAGTGTAACATATTAAAGTTTCAGAGACCCAGAAACAGACTGCAGTGCAAGGCACAGAGAGGAAGAGACTGGTACTTTTTGGGTGGATGTTGCTTATGAAAGATTTAGGGGGAGTGAAAGGAATGGAATCATATTTTTTTGCAGACTCAGCCAGCTTCAACCATCCTTCACAACAACAAATATACTGTTTTATCCACCTAGGCATTAAAAGGACAAGTTTCTTATATTGCATTGTCTGGCATTATTAGTCACTGTTTTCACTCTATGCTCTGATTAACACACTATATTTCTCATATTTCTTACACATTTTTTCTAATAGTCTGTTTTATTTCAGCACAGAGGAATGTGCCTATCAGGCAGAGCTGACAGGGGATTCAGTGGTCTTTGGCAGAAAGAAAGGCAGGCGGCCATCGAGCAGGAGCAGTGGAGCACTGGAGCCTGATCGTTGCTAAGGCTAACAGCAGCCTGATTTAAAGAGACACAGTAATGTGCTGGCTGCTAGCTCGACTAAATCACAGGGATGGAGCTGTAGCAATGTGGAAGAAGAACACAATGCTCCCCTTCAAAGCAGCAAATCCTTTTTCTTGTCATCTGAAAAGGCCCCTCTCTCCACTCTTTCTTTCCCTCTCTCGCCTCAACTCCTCTGCCAAAAGCTCTCGCGCCTGTTTTCTCAGCTGGGAGGATGGAAATCAGACAGAGGGGAGACAGCAGTGAAGGGGGGAGACACAGAGTAAGGGATAGGGAGGGCTGAATAAGGAGCGACAGCCGCAGGGTTTATTTCCTTGTTGTGAGTTTGCTGAAGAGAGATTGAAGGGAGCGAAGGAGAGTCCTCTAATGCTTGCATGTTGCATCAGGTTATTAGGTTACAAATAAAGGGTCAGAACAAAGCAGTAACGCAAGAAAATTTGGTTTCCAATGCATTTCCATTTACAATATAGAATAATTTAGGGGATCAAAAGCTTCCATCTGCTGCAGTGTGATTTGAGGGCATCTCCTGAGCCCACCCCATCTGACCACTGTACAACACAAACACAGACCCACACACACGCATACACAGGCGCACACACACACACACACACACACACACACACACACACACACACACACACACACACACACACACACACACACACACACACACACACACACACACACACACACACACACACACACACACACATAACCCCAATCCCTCATCACAAACTGTACACCCCATAAGCCTTAAATCTCCCCAAATGCAGCTACCACACCCCCAGCACAGACAGTGCAGAGTATCTAATCCATTTCCTTCACCACTGTGGTTGTCATGGAAACGCAATATTCCCCATCGGCGTGATGAGGAAAAGGGGAGCAAGCAGGGAGCGAGCATGGAATAGCAGACGAGCAGATAATTAAATATGCAAAGATGCAACAAAGAGGCCTTTAAGCAAATCTGATTTCCCGACTGCTTCTTCAGCAATGCATCTGTAGAGCTGTGTGTGTGTGTGTGTGTGTGTGTGTGTGTGTGTGTGTGTGTGTGTGTGTGTGTGTGTGTGTGTGTGGTGTTTGTGTGTATGTGTGTAGCTATATGTTAGCAACACTGCATGTGAAGGATGCTGTGCAGCATGTGTGAGATTTTAAACGGTCTGAGCAATAGTTGGAGAAATGTGTGCCGTGTGTGCGTTCTCAGAGGTTGGATACAGTCTGAATGTGCAGCGCCTCAGACATTCAGGCTCTGACACAGAGGCATGTCGACAGCTCAGCGCCATGGTGACAGGTGTTGCTGCGGAAATGGTGCAGCTGCTGCCTGGATATTTCAGGCTAATAAGCATGCAACTTCAAGCTCCTTTCTCTGCTTAGCAAACTCCTCCTCTGTTGACCTGAACCAACATAACTCTGTCTGGTTTTGGAGAATGGAATTGAGAAAGGGTTGACATAATGGACAAGATATTAGTTGTTGTGAAAAAACAAAGATTCTAAACTGTTCATCCATTAGTACTTTCATCAACTGAAACCTTGATTTCACATGATTAAGAAATTATTAAATATTTTGGGAACCAATACAATTTTGGCATTGTTGCTAAAAGTCATATAACAAATTGAAATACTCCTGTAAGGTTTTTGAAGTATGGAGCTGGCGGACTCCATTTAAAAGTTTAACATAAAGACAGGAAGCATTCAGAAACTGTCCACCCTAAAACCTGGAATCCCCCTGGCCAGCACATTTTAAGTACTAATGCATCATGTTATACTGTGCCTGTTTAAACTAA